CAACCCAAGATTGACTTCCTAAGAATAAATTCGAAGCCATCCTCAGGTCCAAGAGTGAACTTTAAACCCCATCCTATTTCTTATCCTTTAACCCTCATGCTGGGGCCCAGACCTGCACTCTCCACACTAGGCAATAGCTCTTACAGTCTACACAGACATAAAGTGATCTGCTCAAAGTCACATGGGAAATGAGTAACAAACTAAAAGTGCTGATCATCTGACTTCCTAGTCACTGTGAGGTCCCCCACCTCCACACCAGGCGGCCACAGAGAAATCCCTGAATCGTGTGTTTGTTTGAACAATTTGCTTGAGAGGTAATATATGCTAACATAAAGGACTCTTTCTACATTGGTCACAGTAGATCATCTTCAGTTCTTTCGTGAAGTGGGGTCTAATGTATTCCCAGCAATGTGCTCTGATACACTTCTTTGCAAAATATGGTTCAGATACCATATACATATATATATATATATATATGTTCTGATCATGGTTCCCTCTGCCCTTAACTCTTCCTAGATCTTAACTACCTTCTCATCTCCCACCTAGCCAACTCCATGCCCTGTTTTTCTATCTTTCTTTAGAAAGAACACACACACACATCTAAAATACATTATAAAAAAGAGAAACAATACCACAAACAATACACAAACCAATAAAAATACAAAATCAGAAATTACGATATACAAGCAAAATACCAGTAAAACAAAAAAAACAGCAAAATGAGACAAAATGTCTCCAAAAATACCATGAGCTTATTTTGTTTTGACCATCTACTGCTTCATTCAGCATAGCCTACGCGTAAGTGGTTGATGGGTCCAGCGAGACAGATTTTCTTGGAAAGAACTAGCTTTTCCGTTGAAAGTACATGTGAATTGGAAAGAACTCAGGTTAGGAATGGGAAATCACGTCGACTTACCCCTCTTGGCATTGGTACCCCAGTGGGTTATAGCAGGCAGAAGAGCATTCTGTAAACAAAGTTACACAGCTAACCACTGCAGTCATTGACCTTCTAATCTCTCCTCTAAATGGCTAGAACCAAGAGGTCAAGCAGATACTGAGGTTGACACTGGACCAGATCAAGCTACACCCCTCATCAAATTCCTCCAAGTCTTAAAATAAACAGAACTTGTCAAGGTCTGTCTCCACCTTATCTGTCCACACTTCCTTCTTGCCATACATCACAATGGCCCCAAGCTCTAAAGGAAACTTTGTGCCATATTTTGCATTTGCTAAATATTTGGTCTAAAGCTTTGTTTCCATTGTTTGTCTATCTAGGCAACAGCCCATTGTTTTTCATAATACACTTTATCCTTCATAGCTCTATGATCTTCTCACGCCACCCAACTCAAAGACTTCATCTACATTTCTAATATAACACTTGTCTCTTTACACAACTATGAAAATACCAGAATTGCTCATTGGCAGATAACACCACCATTCAAGAACCCAGCAGACACAGCTGCAGGTGCGGTCCTCTATTTCCATACCTTCAACTAACTAGTCTTAGAGTGATATTAATTTAGCTTAAATAGCATGGTGTCCCACATCTTCAGAGGATGGCGTCATTATTTAAAATATTGGGCAAGCTCATCTACTCACTTCTTCCTATTCGGTTGAAGGGTAGACAAGGTCAAGGTTTTCCAAACAGTTTATAAGGAAGTTCTCACAAGGAACACTCAAAAGCTTCCTACTTTGCTGGCAAGAGGCAGTCCAGTGAGTTTGAATGGCAAGGCCTCTAAGACAGCATGGTTCAACCTTCCCAACGCTGTGACCCTTTTATTCAGTTTGTCATGTGGTGGTCATAAAATTATTTTCTACATAAAACTATTTGCTACTTCTTAACTGTGATTTTGCTACTATTATGAATCATAATGTAAATACCTGATATACAGGATATCTAAGATGCAACACCTGTGATAGGGTTGTTCAACTCTCAAAGATTTTTGACGCACAGGTTAAGAACATCTGCCATAACGAAACAGAAGAGGTGAACACTGTCACATGCCTATAGACAGATCACCAGGGTAGCAGGTCCCGATTTAGATTGCTGTGTAAAGATACCTAATGAAACATCTATTAGCAAGAGGTATACAAGAAGACCAATATCTAACTGTGCAGAAAGTCCTGGATCACATTCTTATTTGGGTATAAGTACTAGAAAAATAAAAAGATTTATCTATGTGCCCACAGTCTTCTAGGCATTGGGAATATGTTTGTGTAAGACAAAAACATAGGAGGAAGTAGAAGGCAGGGTGGAAGTCTCGGGTTCAGTGGAAACAGCTAGAACATAAAATAATGTCTTTATTGAGCAAGCGAGAGAACATTTCAATTCATAGGAGAGATGATTTGGGAAACCCTTCAGTGTGACTCAGAAATGGACCAGAGAAGGTGGAAACTCAGCAGAAGTGCACCTCTAGCCCCTGAGTGCCTTTTGTTGCCTCTCTTAGAGCTAGTTTCAGAAATGTAGACAAGTGAAACTTCTACATCAAATTCTCACCTCCTATTTCAAACTTGAAAAGATCGAAAAAAAGTGCAACCTAATGGGTGCTTAGTATCAACCTCCTGTTGTCTCTAGGAGCAATTAAAAAAATCAATACTAAGGACTTCCTCTCTACAGGGATTCACTGTTCACCCATGCTGACCTGGCATCTGAACTCAGGAGCTTTTCCCCGCTGCCCCCAAGTGCAGGGATTGCACGTAGTCACCACTGTGCCTGCCAATCAGCCTATTTTTAACACTGGTCTCCTCGGGAAATTGCACAAGCTCTCCACCTTTCCAATACTCGCCTCTCCCCGGTTTTCTTAATTTCTAATAAAAAGTGCCTCCATTCTTACAAAGCTCTTGTTTCAGTTGGAAATATCCAGGGCTTTCCATGTCCCAAAGAATCCAATTTCACAGAAGGGTAACAGCAGCTATTGACTGCATCCACAATGTGTGGTCAGCCAATGCTGAACCATCTCCAAACACCTGCGACTCAGACTCAGAGAGACGTAGCCTGCAGGTCACGACTGTGCAAAGGCGAGTTTTGTACACTCATTCCCCGCCCGTTTTCTCACTCTCTCCTTTCTCTCCTACAAATCTGCATTGATTTCGTTGTTTTGTGCCTCTGCCATTTTTTCTGCTTCATGCTTTGAAGTCCTCGGCCAAGTCATAGGAAGTACTACTGTGAAACCTGAGTAGCACTATATTTTACTATCTACAGCTGCTTTGTGTGTTGCCAACAGGTATCTATAGCAACGCATCATTTGTAAACAGGGTGATAATTGTCATTTGTTGTTTGCAAACTTTGACCTTTTCTAGATCTGTCAGCTTTATAGTTCTTAATCTGGTGCTCTCTTCACTGTTTTGAACTGTAAGAGTTGATCTCCCTGAACAGTCTGCAAGGTTGTGCTGATTTGAAATGCTTTCAGTTGTCCACTGACAGACAAAAGATGAGCCTACTGGATTTCTACATGCATCCCAAAAGTCTTCGCGTGACTCCATTTGAAGCAGCTTTCATCAGTGCATTCAAACTATTATGTAAAGACACTTTGTTCTTTCAGTTTCTGCTTTCCTTAGTTCTTCTTTCTGACTATCCAATCCACTATCTTTAAAATCGTTTTCTATTTCCTATTTCCACCATGCAAATCACTACAATTCCTGAAAAGTATGCTTATGCTAAAATTTGGCATTATACACAAACATCTTGCAAATATCTTGGCTAGTTAGAATTTAAACACTCATCTCTAAGACACTAGAGTTGAATTAACTTTTAAGAAACTTGTTTGGCTTTTGACATCAATCTGAAGTTTCAGTTTAGCAAAATGAGCTTATAAACTACACTCCTCTGCTGCTTCATAAAGAAATCAAAGACTAGGAAGAAGCATTCAAAACTCAAGGAAGAAACAATGTGAAGAATCTATATAATTCGTTGAATTCATACTCTAACCGTTTCTTTAAACACTTGAGCGTAAACCTCAAGTTTGACCTATTTAAGGCTGCTTTCACCAAACATGGGAACGATTTAATTCAAAAGCTACTTGAAAGTGCCTAGCCACAATCAGTTTCAAGTAAGATCCAAGTGAAGCAGCCTTCTCTCATGATCTTGCTGAACTCTCCATGGCGTTTCAGCTTGCTTTGTAGGCACAGCCTCTGAACAGGGAAAAACCATCAAGGGCACTGAAAACTCTTTATTACTAAATGAAGATTCTATAAATAAATTACCAATGAACAACTTAAGCAAAATCTAATGTTACTTCGGGTTTATGATTGTTCTCAAAATATCTATTCCTAATGAACTATATGAGACAACATTGACAATATGGAATAATCACAGAAACAAAGATGAGTGCACATTCATATACAACATTTCAATATTTATGATTGCGCATATATCGAGAAACAAGCATGGCCTAATTGTTAAGTCCTCATAGTAACTCTTATTTGTTCCTATTTAAAAGTTTTATTTTGAAAGTGACTAGTTTGGGATACTTGAAATCTCCTAAACAAAATAGTTAGATCTGCATGTGTTCAAAAAGAATAGCATAACCTAACCTATGAAAAAGTGTATGTGCCAAAATCCTGTCTGGTGTTGTTTCTGCTATGAACAAAACTCATTCAGTCTTACCTTTAAAAAATAAAATAGGCCTTGCTAGAATGTAAACAGAAATTAACACTTACTCATAAAATAGCATACAGTAAAATGCTAAATTATGTGCTTATATACTGAATATCTGAGAATATTAAACAGGAAGAAGAAATTCCCTTGGTTCTTATGAGCTAAAACAGTGATTTCTACATCATGATTAAAATAAGACATTAATAGCATCCCATTTATATTTCATCCACATAATAGCAAATCATAGTTTGCCTGCTTTAATATCCTGATAGCTGGTTATCACCCAAGAAGAAAGCATAATTACAAGTTAGCTCCACATATCAAACTAAAACCGGCATTGATTGAGCTTGTCTTCATCTTTGTCTAAAGTACAGAAAATTAACCTTCCGGTTTGGTTACCTACCAACAGGGACTGGAGTGAGCAGGTGCCATCGCCTCTAGAAGGAGCTCCAGATTCCAGCCCCTGGTCCCATACCTTAAGCACAAAAGCCCAGGATCTGTCCGCAAGTAATGAATGGTTAGAACTGCTTGGATTCCACTTAGTTGAGGAAGGAAAAAAGAGAAGTCACTCATTAGGGCATTTCCTGAACTCTGGTTGGAATTTCAGTTAAGGGAGAAGAAATGACACAGCAGTTTCAAGTTAAGACGACTTCCTTTCTTTATCTGAAATATGCTTCTAATTTGAGAACGGGCATTCCAGCCCAAACACTCTGTATGCTGTGGCTACAGCAAAATAATAATAATAATAAAATAAAAAAACTTTGTCATTGATGCCATTATTGCCCCGTAATGAACATTTTCCCTCAGAATTTACAGAGGCAGTATGCGGTTGTTACCAGACTGGACTAGGACCCCACAGTTATTGCAACACATTCTGCCTGCTTTACAAGTAAGTTTCTTCAGAACGTTGACCTTCCCCACTTTTCAGTTAAGAATTGCACTTTGGCTTTGAATACTAATAGGCTGAGCTTAGAATTTAAGGCTATTTTCAGAATTTAAAACAATGCAAGTCTTGTTACATCTCAATTGCTCTCAAAGACTTCATGGTAAATATTGACCAGGAATCATTGATCTTGCCAAGTATAATAGAAATACGAAATTAAACTTCTGAGATATAAGTGCCTTTACTCAAAGGGAAACAAAAAAGAAACACCCTTTCCTCTGACCGTCAAGGCTGTTCTCAAATCAGTTATCATGTCTTTCATTTTTCTTTCTCCCTTTCTTTCTTTTTTCTTTCTTTCTTCCTTCCTTTCTTTCATTCATTCATTCTTTTTTCCTTTCTTTTCTCTCTCCTCTCTCACTTTCTTCCTTGTACTCAACCAGATTTGATTGATGTGAGCAGCTAAAATATGATCTTTTAGCCAAAATCACAAATTATTAGCTTATTGAGGACTTTGAAAGTTTGAAATAATATAAACTCACATTGTTAACTTTTATGATTGAATTTCAAAGATTAAATACATAAGTGGCAAAAGAAAACAATAAACAGTTCATTATAGTTAAAACGAACAAACAAACAAACAAAAAAAAGAATCCAAGTCAGGAGCAAATCGACTAGTCTATTTTTTAAAACACAACACAAATGTCTTCTATAAGGGAGTTTGATATACTTTCTCTGTAAAGAACAAGAAGATAAACATGATGTGTGTCTCAGGGCACTCATCATTTATGACTTCACAGTTCTATTATTGTAATGGCATGCTTACATAAGTCACAAATGAATGACTACAGTAGTCTTTTCTTTGTCTCCATTTGAAGGCTCCAGAAAAGTTTCTGCTCACTGCCTGAGATTCCGTATGCTACGTTCTCTTTTAAAAGCTAGAACACCTTAATTAGCCTCATCAATATTACCAGTGGCAGTCATTGTTTATTCTCAACTTATTTTCTATACCAGCAGCATATGTTTGATAAGCCTTTGATGTCTTTCTCCACTTGCACTGGTGAGCATCAGTTGTATCGAATAATTGGCCTTGCCACCTTCATCTTCATGCTTCTGCAGGATACCACACTCAGACATCCTCCTATCTCCCCAGCTGTGCGGGTGTCCTCTTCCACTTCCTTCTCTTGTCTCTGATTACCACAATTGAAATTTCTGCAGGGTCCTCTCTCCCTCTGCAGCTGCATGTTTGACCACTGTTGACCTCCAACAAAACTTCTGTCTGCTGGAAAATAAGCTGACACTCACTAAAGTACACTGTGATTCCGATCACAAATGTTCCTCCAAAGGCTCATGTGCTGAAAGCTTAGTCTGAGCTTGGCACTACTAGGAAATAGTGGAACACTTGAATACGCAGGACTTGGTGGAAGGCAGTGGGCAATGGGGATATGCTTTGGAAGAGTTCTTTGGAGTTCCAGTGAAGGTCCTCATGCTTTCTCCCTTGAGCCTTAAAGTGAGCAGGTTCCTTCTGGAGGTCATTCTTTCCACAAGTCACCTCCCAAGTCTCAAAGAAGAAAGCCACACTGATTATGAACTGAAACGTCCTAGACATGGGACCAATATATGCTTTCCTTGTAACTCATTCTTTCTTCAGGTATTTGTTTCAAAGACAAAAAGGCAACATTTCTATGGCAGTAGAGATTAAATGTCAGCAACAGCTGCTGTGACGATGAGGACTTAGAATAAGTCTTGTCACACAGTAGATAATATGAATGAAAAACAGTTCGTAGCTTTCTTTTACATTAGCCTCCCCAGCAAAAGAAGCAAAATACATATTCATTTATTCGTGATATTGTTTTCTATATTTTATAGGGAAGCTGTACTCATGAAATTTCAAAAATATGGTAACCTATACAAGATGGGCACAATGAAAACACCAGATGACCTGCCAATATGGATGAGGGAAACGCCGACGCTTTTTACCTTCCAAGAGCTCCAGCGCACTTGATTTTTAAGAATGCATCACTCATGGCTTAACTTAGTGTAGGGCAGCAAAATAATGACTTAGTAGGAAAGTATGGGAAATGGGAAATTAAATAGATACAAGTGGCAGATTTTTTTCATTAGACTTGGCCTTTGGAAAGACAGAGAACGGTGAAGTGAGGAACAAAAATAAAAGAGAAAGAGTATGGTTTGCGGTGGCCATAAAGGCCAGCGATCAGAGAGAGGCGGCGTTCAAGGAAGAAATACTAACAGTCCACACAGAAAACTTTCTGATGATCATGCAGCAGCTAGCGTGGATTCTGAAAGCCATTTTACTAAAGATTCTTAGTTAGGCCTTCAAAAGTAGGAAATGCGTATGTTTACTGTTATTTCAGCTATTACCTTTCCAGAACTCTCAAAAGTTAAAGGTCTTTGGACAAAAATTCCTCTTAGTAACATCAGATTTTGTTCACAGAATTTGGGCTACATCATGCCCATAGGAATCCCTTCCTGTGTGTGTGTGTGTGTGTTATACATATCTAGTAGTTACAGATAATAATTTTCTTATTGAAAACTTTCAATATTAAGCTCTGAAAAGAATTAAAATCTCCTAAGACAATTCATCAAAGGAAAAAATAAATCTCATAACACAAGGTGCATAATCAAAATAACAACAGAAAAGAAGCCAAAATAAGATACATAGAGCTGTCTATTTTATGTTACCAGTCATAGAAGCTACGTAGAGAAACATTAGTATTATACATAAGAGCACTGTCAAAACAGTATCATCAAAAACGTGATTTCATTGGCACTTTGGACAAGGACAGGTATTAAAAAGTTAAAAGGTTTTTTTTAAAATATATGTTTTAAGATCGAATGCTGTGTGGATAACACTTTAATTAAAAAAAAACAGTAAATGACAGACTGACATTAGGTCCAGTATGAGTAAAATACATAAAAACCTTTACAATATCTTTAAAATCGCACTAAAATTTTCTTGACCAAAGAGGTGATGTTCTTAACTAGAAACACGCACTGCAGAAGAGCAACAGGACATGTTCCTTGCATAGACATTACTACAAAGTGAAGGGGTGGGCTGCTTTCACTCCTAAAGACTTTTTGCCCATCTCAACAGAATCTGGAAAGATCAGTCTATTGGTTTCTCAACAATTTCAGCAGAAGTCCATGCGGCCATCACTGTTACAGCAAAACCAGTAAAAGCAACTCAAAACAAGCAAATTACTTTCCAAAGTCTTCTGTCCCCCAGTAACTCAGTTTTGAGGAACAGAAATCTCTGAAAACCCTTGTGGCATAAATAAAAATTAATTTTCTATAATACTAAGATTGTTAAGATTTCTCTAGAGCTTATATTTAATTCTAACATGCACTAGAGTATTAAACAAAGACCAAGTCCAACTGAAAATTTTGAAGTAGACAAAATTAGTTTTCAACAATCAATCTCCTTGCCCTTTTTCCTGTTTCCAGACAGGTGCCATGGTCCCTTATTATCTATCCATTTTTCATGCTATCGAAAGCTATTTTTAGAAAACACTCTAATTCATTGCATACCTTATTCACTAAGGAGTAGACAACTGATAAGAATGAAAATAACCTTCTCCCCAAAGGTATTTATATTTCTAAGCTAATATGACCTTAAAGAAGAGACAATAAACTTAATATTGGAAAGGAAGGGTTATATACGAAAGTGTTCAAACAAGCAATCAAAAACATTTCATGTAGTCTTCTATCCACTCTGAGCAAGGTATACAAAAACTAGACAACATGTTATTTGAAAAATAAATAAAAGCAGATCTTCTTTCTTTGTAATATTAGGGTATTCCAAATTAGATGGCATCTATCATGATTGACACTTCAGCTCTCTAGAGATTAGAACAATGACAAGTCTTCTATAGTTTTTTGCAACTGTACAGTTATTTCTTGTCAGATTGAATAGGATGGAATATGCTGTCATAAAAACAAATCCAAAAAATACTTTAACTGTGTGTGTGCATGTGTGTGTGTGTGTGTGTGTGTATGTGTGTGTGTGTGTGTGTGTGCGCGCGCGCGGGGCGGGTGTTATTTTTAATGCTGAGGAAACTTTGTTCCATTTGGTCACTTAAGGACACAGGATGAAAGACATTCATCTCCAAATATGATTTCAGCACGATGGGGGTAAAACACAGAGTATGGAGAATAATAAACAGATCTTGAAGATTCTGTAGGAAGTTATAGTCATCATTTATGTCCATAATTTATTGTTCAAAATCATCAGTGGCTCTATCTGCTTCTAAAAACAATGAACATGCAACCCTAACACAAGCTAAGAAGAGAGAACTTGATTTACTGAATTGGAACAGTGGCAATGACAATCTGACTTTTTGTCAAGGATTACAATTTTAGCAAAACATGAACAAACTTGGTTCATCAAATAAACTATAAGTTTATTCTTCATTCTTTACAATAACTAAAAATAAAAGATAAGAGGAAAATATCAGAGAAAAGATATAGAAAGATGGGAGGAAGCACGAAGAAAAATACCTGGAAATGATAGTAGCGTCACCTACAGATCAAAATCAATTAAGAACTCTATACATGTGTAAATGTCAGAGGTCTATAGAAATTCTTCTGAGTGGAGCTGAAGAGATGGCTCAGTGGTTAAGAGTGCTAGCTGAATTTTAATATGTATT